AATGATACCTACAATGATATATCGACGAAGCCATGAGGGTGCACTTATATTCATAATAGAAATGGATACGCACTCCCAAAGATCAGGATTTGACATCGGATCTATCAGTTCAAGAACAACAAGTTGATTGTCGATAGGCCCTTGTCTATAAAAAGTGTCGTCCATTGTCTATCTCATATTATGCAAAGATTAGATGGGTTCAATCATGAAGGTTCCAAGTTTACCGGGTCATAGCTATAAGCAGGGTATCTGAGGATCAGCCACGAGACTGATAAAGAGGCCCTTACTGTTCCGGCTAATACACATGAACAAATATTATTTTCAATGGCTGACAGAGGTAAAAATGTGTCTCACAACGCATCCCATAGCAAAACGGATAGCCAATAAAGTCTTTCCAGCGCCTATTTAAACAAGGATTAAGAGGTGCTAAAAGGGAATCACCAAGAACTTGATGACCTACGGGAGTCGCCAATAATCATAATCTTATAATTTTGTATACTTGAGCTCTATGGGAAGAATGTACGAGGGTAAAGGATCGTCAATATACGTCTTGGAATCAAGAGGCCAAGGAAACAAAACCGAGCCTAAGAATCCACTATACATTGCGGGCATTATGGCTCAAAGTTTCCATGTTTGCGAGCCCGAAGTAAGGAATGTACGAGGATTGAGTCGTGGGTAAGTAGGAACAAACAGATCACCGCCACTACCACATGTTAATAAAGACCCGAATGGTCAAGTATTCTTAGATTCGCTCGTAGGATATTTTTCATATGACGCATAAACTGTTTCAAGGAAGAAGACCAGCACTTAGAGAGAGTTAGTCACTCACAGCTCTCTTGAATTAACTCGACGAGATCGAATCGTGACATTTATTTAACAGATTATGCACCCGCAGTGGTTTAAACGACTACCTAAGCTATTTCTTGAAGCAGAATATGGTTCTTGAGGGAATAGTGGGTCCTCTCCCTGCCAATAGGATTATATGTATCAGATTACTCTATGCTGTAGTGTTCAACCTACCCTTTCCCATCTCTTCACGAGCCTAACTAGCTGAATATAGGCTGTCTCGACATTTATTGCGAGCTTTGCTGAGGTTTCGAAGTGAAGGCCTCGCCACTTGACAGCAAAGTCGCGTCCATCTTTAGAAATAGACTCAGTAAAGCTTCAATACGTTCCATAGATTGAGGGCTCTGACCACTTCGTAGAGTTTGTCTGTCATATTCCGCATCGCACTTATTCCCAACCACCGCGAGGGGAACATATTCTGCTCCCTTCAGTCGGAGGATCTCCTTCAGTAGCTCCGCTAAGCTATCAAGTGAATGTTTATCCGTGATCGAGTAAACTAATAAGAAACCATCTATGTGTCTCACGTATTCGCTTTTATTGCTTAAATCTCGAAATGAGGTAGCGAGTGTGGCTGAGATTAGTCACTTACCTGCAATATTCCAAGTTTTCTAGGTCATCTAGTTCAATATAAACTACTTCATCATCGACGATGCACTGCTTGCGGGGCGTCTCGCAGCATATCTGATTGGGAAGCATTTGAATGATATGAAGTCTATCTTGGCATTTTATAAAAATTGTGAGCTTACTCCGACGTAGGTTCTGAATGAGAGTCAGTGAGGCTTGAATGGGAATCAATAGGGGCTTCACAAGAGATACTCACTCTTCTGACTAGTGATTTCCCGAAAATTCTCTTTAGGCCACTACAATTATGATGTAGAATCGATACTCACGAACGCATAATACACAAATCTTGTGATTAGGGCCGATTTTCCAGTACCTATACCAGGCTCCAGCTGTATTTTGGAGAAGAAAAGAAAGGTGCTTACCCGAAGACCCAAGGGTAGCTATTCTATAAGAATGAGGTCGGTTTCGAGTCTAATAATACGGTAGTGAATGCATGAAAGAGTCATAATCGCGAGGTCAAAAGGCGCCGAGGTAGAAAACGACAAGTTGAGCTCAGGCTCGAAGATAGTTACGAACTTGAGGTACCATTTGGGGTGGTCTAGTTGTCTCGCAATGCATAAGGCTAAGCGGGGGGAGAATAATAGGTAGGAAAGGGTAGAGATATAAGTTGAGTCGCGCAAAGGCCACCACTCGTCTCTCCATATAAGCCATCAACTTTCTTCATCCCATCTCTCTACAAGGAACGAACATTTACCTTGTGCCACTATCCAACGTCAAGTTATCCAACGGTGTGAGTAGCGTTCCAGTAGAGCTAATGTGGTTGGTGGCTGTGAGCCATGCCGAACGTGTGGGAGTAGGCCGACTAGCGGCAGGAACGATTTTTGGGAGGTAACTTGAGTGGATAGTTCAGACAGAACCAATATAGGATATCGATGGCTAGCTCCTTTACACCACCGAGTTCATATCGAAATCGTACCTTGTATTCCTTTTTCCCCAGTCTAGTAAAAGGTAACTTCACTAGCTTTTTGTATTCATTGTAGTGGCTACAATTCTTAATTGAATGATGGATATGCTTTTTGATACGAGATAATTCGTGTATTTACCTTCGTCCGGTTTCCCTCGTCGCCGCCTCTTCCCCGCTCTCCGAGCGTGTCATCGGCCACGACGAGTAGTTATAGAACATATACAGACTGATTTGCATTCAAAGAGCCCAACTGCTGAGCAACTTGTCATTTGAGATACTCGCAAGTGGCGTGCCGATCATTGGAACTTCAACCCCACCAAACCCCCACAAGCCCCGCCT